GTAATTAATCAGCTTGAGGGACATAAACTGGACCTGCAAACCACTACAGATTATCCCAGATATAGATAGATTAATGAACTGATGTATAATCTGCTAAAGATATTGTATACTTTTGCCAATGAATTCACCGTTACTCCATACATAACGGAGAATCGGCTCTAAACTCTTTTGTCTCGGGACACCTGAAACAACACCATCATAACACCGGATGCGTCTTTCACGTTTGACACTAAGTTAGTTAAAGCTCTCCGTGATGAGTACGCCGCTATGGCTAATGGCAGACCCGCAGCACATGAAGTCTTGATTAGCCTGTCTTGGCTTTTGCCTTATGCGCCTCAATCTCCGCCTTGACCTTTCGCTGTCTCATCTCCATCTCGGCCTTGATTTCTTCCACGGCCTCGTTGAAGTCACCCTCGATATCCTTGGAAATACCCAAAATGGGCTCCTTACCCGTTAGACTGTCCGTTGAGATTGAGCGCACCAACTTGGCGCTGGCTCGGCCCTGACGCTTCTCGAGCTGCTCCTTCAGGGCGGCCTTTCCGGGGGAAGAGAAGAAAACGAGCGACAAAAGGGTCCAGATCACAGCGTAGAAGTAGACGCGGGACCAGGCTAGTAGTGAGCCCTGTAATGTGAGAACTAGGAAAGGTGCTGTAGCAAAGGTAAAGGTGAGTTGTGTGGCGAGGTAAGATACGAAATCGTAGTACTTCTTCTTGGGTGAGGGGTTGCCAGTGATAGGTTCTAAGAAGAAGGGGCGAACATGACGGCGGTAATCTAGAGATTGTCAGTATCACTCATGTTCAGTGTAAGTAACGAGATAGACTCACGCTTTGCAGCTGTCTGAATGAAGCTTGCAAGGACAAAGCTGAGGTAGTATCCAGGATAGAAGCCATGCCAGAGAGCACTTGTGCCAAAGGTCATGAGACTAGCGCGAAAACCAGGCTTCTTGCCTCGAGGCGTGACACGCAGATAGACGTAGTTCCTTAACCAGTTGCTCGTGTTGATGTTCCATCCTCCAAGATATCCTCTGGGATTCTGCGCAGTCTCAACAGCCCAGGGATCAATGTTCTGCAATCGGTTCCAGAAGACCTTGCCCGTAACAGGATCAACACCATTGTAGCCCATGCCCGCGAGGATGCAAGACCCCTCCGTAAGGTACCAAACGCCATAGTATTTGAGTCGTGCAGTGAAACTAACCATGTGCATGATCCAGACACGGCGAAGGAAACCGTACTTCATATAAATATCAGAGGTGAGCAGACTGGGATAGTATGAACCGCCTAGAGCCATGAACATTCCAATAAGAAAGAGGCCACTCGCTGCCTTCCAAGCTGCGGGACCACCACTTCGAGGAATCTTTCGCTTCTTCCTCACGGGGGGCTTCTTTGCTGGATCGACGTTGGGCGCGTCAAACATGGTTGTGTCAAGCCATTTACGATAGTCGGTGAAGTCGAAAGACGGGCCGGCGAAGAGCGCGGGGAAGAAGAGAACCCAGCCAGCATAGTCGAGAATAGGAGGCAGCTCCTTGAGCATGTTCCTCTTTTGGAAATCAGACAGATACTCTTCGGGGAGTTGGCCATCAGCGACGTTCCAGCAAAATGCACTCAGTTTCATGAGAAGCACCATCTGGGCGCCCGTGACATCAGCCTTTGTTGGGTCATCAGCGGCTTGACGAGCGATATGGCTCAGGGACATGTGGCCCATGACGAAAGCGAAGCCAATCCATGGCATGTAGGGACTCGTTCGAAGGAATTTGGCGATGCAGTATGTTCCTCCTGCGCTGATGAAGAGGGTTCGGACACCATCCCATAGGTCAAAGAGGCCGACGAGGTAGAAGATTGATACGCTTGGTTGAACGTGTTAGTGCGATTGAACATGGATGAGCTGAGAGACCGTTGGTGTCGTACCTAATAGCAAAGAGGTTCTTGAGATCCGGTCTGGAGTCGGGAATGCGTTTGAGGAGAGCGGCGAGGGGGAAAGATATTAGGAACGAGGTGACGAGTTTGACTGAGGTTGTGTTAGAGGTCTGCTGAGCTTGGGGAAGCTCTGGGGGAGGGGGGGAGTAACTCACGATCGTCTGGGGCAGCACCAACAGTGTCTGCTAGGGCCACAAAAGCTATACGAGCACAATTAGTTAGAGAAGTAGATTCGTCGTTACACGAGGAATGAAGCTTGGAACTTACGCCTATGCAGAAAGTACAGCATCTTGCTAGCGGTTGAGGTAGCTCAGCATACAGTTCCAAACTTGAGAGACTACCTATACAATTCAAGAGGAAATAGACAGGAGATGTTAGGAATTGTGCCTCTGCCTCAGCTATATCATTGCGTGAGAGAGGACGGGAAGAAACAGTTCTTTAGGGTTGATTGATCAAAGAGTGAGGGACGTCATTGCTATCCCTTGCTTTATCTAGAATAGAGTGGAAGACAAGATTCCCCCAACATTTTGGAGAAGAAGCAAAAAAAAGCTTGGACATTCGGTACCTAGAGAGTCTAGAGAGTGACGTCCTAGGGACCCACGTGGGGCACTTCACGTGTCGATCTCTAAAACTAGGTAGACATGACCTTTTGAGGTTGATCATGAGCCTTGGCCTTTGTAAGTATTATGTGCCAATGAGACAGAAGCGTGCTTATATAGAGCCTTGGTATAGGGCAGTATCGACTTAAGTTAATGGACGTTGTCTGTCAACTGGCGTAATCACCAACGTGTCCATCATGACTGAGTTCAGTCCATTGCAAGATTCGGACTCCAAAGAATAATGCATTCAGCAAACAGTAACCCCTATCCGAAACTCCTTTGTCTATTCTTACTCGAAAATAAGTCACCGTCGTGCTCATTACAATAATTTACGCACCCAAAAAACCCTAGCCCGGGTTCTATAAGTTACCCAGGGCCTTTTTATCCCTTGATTCGCAGGAGCCATGTTTATCCACATCATCAACGCCATGCACAACAGCCTAACGTCTAAAGTTGCGCCTTGTATCGTATCATCTAAGAGTTGGCATCGCGGTTGCTCTTGGCGCTCGCGCTCATCGTAGGTCGCACCGTAGGCAACGATCCTCCAGAGGACATCGATTGTCGTACGCGGGACCAGGCATAGACCAGACCGCTGATAAAGCCGAGGAAGATGGCAGACACACTGCCGAAAGTGACTGGGGCTGAGAAGAAGACCAGACCGCTGATTGCGATAGGAAGCTTGTTCAGGGCTCCAACCATAGAATATGTTGTCGAGGAGGTGACGCGGATACACCAAGCAGAGCAGTATGAGATAAAGATAGCTGCAAGGCCAGAGTAGATCATGCCGATAATGATCTTGTTACGGGTATCCTCGGGGAAGTTGCGAGAGAAATTGTAGGCGGACCAGTCCTCTGTAAGAAGCGAGCAGACAACTAGAACGGGGATCGTGAGGAGATTGTTGTAGTACATGGCTACACAATGTTAGCAACAGAAACTTTCACACCGACAGCGCATGACTCACTATCCCAGTCCTTAAAGTTCATCTTCTTGATGACCTTGCGCATACCGAGCACGTAGGCGGCACTGCAGAAAACGTTCATTCCCATCCAGGCATAACCGGCGTTGAGCGTAGAGACAGCTGCTGCTGAGTCGGCAGTACCAAAGTCACCGTTGATAGCACTTTGGATGTCTGCCCAAGCTGCGACAATGGAGCTCAGCACCATGAGGCCGAAAGAGAGCAGGGCCAGAGGGGTAACACTGCCACCGAACCAAAGGACCTCGCCGTATGCGATGACAATAATGGTCAAGTTCTTGAAGATCGTATAAACGGGGACGGATAGGAACTGAAGCGACTTTGTGCTGGTGTAAATCATGCCGACGAGGAGAAGAGAGATAGGGAACCCTTTTTTCGTGTTAGCTATTAGACGGTTATAACTTGAGCCTCAAGAACGTACATTTTCTTGCTCGATCAGAGTCGAAGGGGGCAAGAACCTTGATCAAGCCCAGCTGTTTGCACAGAGTGATTGCGCCAATACACACGACAGCCTACAGGGTCCAATGTCAGAAAACGGGTACAATGCCTCGTCATGGAGATTTCCTTGCCTGGACAGTTAAGTAGAAGAAGTTGAGGTTCCAGAAACTACCCGACACGACATACTTGTTGACAACAGTCATACTGATCGAAGACAAACAATACGCCAAGATAGACAAGGGCGGGCTCTTTTCCAATTGTTCAAGTCCACTGACTGGACTTGAGCCGTACGCTGCGGGAGGTGGTGATCGCGCCTGGAAAGAAGGCTTCTCATTCTTATCATAGTTGTCATTGCCCATCTGGACAACATAGTCCTCGTTCTTCTTATCGGTCATTATGGCAGCGGATGAAACGAAACGAAACAGTCGTGGGAGTAAAACGTCGGGATCAGCGCTGGGATGCGACGGAAGTACCGGGTTTCGGTGTCGAAGATTCGAAATGAGACGCTGTATGATCGATTCGTTCTAACGTTGGGTGCTCTCGTGGGCCCAAATCGTGTAAGAGGAGGAAATGACAGCGCGTTGGACAAAGTGTTCAGCCCTTTAACCCCCGTTGGAATCTTTTCTCCCTTTAAATTGAGGGCCCTGTAAAAGAAAGTACGAGGTACGAGCCACAGGGTCGAGGGGCTCAAAGGGAGACGTGGAGCAAATGGAACTTGACTTGGATGGATTTGGGGCGCGTTCCTGCTGAGTCATCCAGAAGGACAGGGGTAAACTTTATGGTGTTGAATGGAATGTAAGTTAACCCGTAGAGAATAAGAGAGAGAGTACGAGAGTAAAATGTTCAGCCCTTTTTCGGTCCAGATCCGTATCGATCACACGGCATCTCCTTTCAGGGTCCAGTAATAATAAGTGCGTGTGTAGTAAGCTCGTAAAAGAATTTGTGTTGTACGCACTGTATCATAGAATTAGCGTTTAATAGTCACTCCACCCGGTACGAGAAATCCAATTGCGCCTGTGCCTCAGAAGTGCCTTAGCACAGTAACCCAATAACTAACGACGATGTTCATCTCAAGTATCAAGAAGCAGACGCAGCAGCCTCGTTGGTTTCAGGTGCTGCTGCTGTTGTCTCTTCTCCAGCTTCTCTGTCGTCGTCCGGCCCGGCTGGAAAGTTGAGATGCTTCCAATCCTCCAACTCTTCTGTCACAGACCGCATGCGATCGCGAATGCTCTCAATTGCATAGCTTCCCAATAACAATCGTAGCGGCGGGTACGAGCAGTGTCCGAGTTGCCATACGAGTTCAGCGCACTTGATAGCGCTCGTGGGTCGATACTTGTCACCGAGCCACTGAACAATCCTCCGTGCATGTAGCGCTGGTGATGTTGGATGCCCGTATGTCTCGCTCGGTGGCTTCACAAGAAAATGACCCCAGGACGTTGGAAGCGACGTATCTTGCATCTCTGGTTCTTCCGGCCTCACATGACCCGGCTCGATGAGTGTAGCTTTGATGTTGAAGGCATCCGTCTCATAGAGCATGGCCTCAATTAGGCCCTCCACCGCATATTTGGTCGCGCAGTAGGGGCCCAGGCCAGGGACGCCCAAAGCGCCAGACGTTGAGCTGAAGATGAGATAGCGACCTGCATTCTGCCGGCGGAAGTACGGCAGCGTAGCGTGAATAATGTGAAGCGTGCCCATGAAGTTGGTCTCGAACTGGTTGCGTATGTCATGCTCATCCTGGTCCTCGCAGGCGCCTATGACACCGTAGCCAGAGCAATTGACGACAATATCGATCCGGCCAAAGCGCTGGAGCGTACGCTCGATGACACGATTCACAGATTCGCGAGCGCGGACGTCGCACAAGGCGCCGAGACAGTTCTCATGGATATTCTCCATGTCTTTAAGACTTGTCTCGAATACGCGACCAACCGACGTTACCAAATCTCCATGTGAAAGTGCACATTTGACCAGGGAGTGCCCCATCTGACCCGTACCTCCAAAGATCTGTATGTGCATCCAACGGTGAGCATATCGAACGAATAAAAGAGCGCTGTGCTGTGCAGGAGATGAATCATACCACCCAGACTAACTGCTTCACTGGGGTGTTGGGCTGTGGAGGATCACAGCTCGCAGGAAGCTGCGCTATTCGCGGCCTCGATGATGCCTCAGTAACATCTGAGACTTCGGTTCGGGTATCCATCGTTTGCGTTGAGTCTTGGTATCTCCAATTGAGCTGTAGATTCCCGCTATTCAAGTTTGTTGTTGTTGTTTTTGGCTGAATTGAAGAGAAGGTTTACTTTGAAAGCTGTAAACCATAAAACTCCAGGGTCTCGTGTTATGCTCCGGCGGGGTCCAAAACTGTACGTATCAGTGCTCATCGTAATCGTAATGCCTTTCCATTCTTTATGGTCAACCTCTACATGTTGACTGAACTTGTCGCCTAGAACTTAATCTGGCTGAGAATTAAGGCATGACGAGAAGTATCAAATCTTTATCTTGATTGTAAATTATGCTCTTCGAGAATGAATCCATGCATGTTATGCTTGGATATCCAGTTCATGCTTTCGCACCAAAGCTTGCCTAGTCCAGATTGGTCGCTCAAAGTATCTTGAAAGTGTTCTAGATGCCCTCAAGCTTGATTTCAAGACATTTCAAGGTTTGATTCGTCGAGGAGCAACTAACAAGATCTTAAGAAACTACGTCTTTTCCGCATGCATGCTCTGACTACTGCAAGATACTTCCACTTACACGCCCCGCAACGATCCATGAAATACGCTGGAGCCAATGCTATGAGCGGTATTCTTTGCTGACCGTATGATGCGCTCAGTCGTAAAAAAAGTTGCGACCCTCACATAGAATAGATATGCACTGCAAGTGTTGTAGGATCTTACTGGCACTTAAATAAAAGCTTCAGTCTGGAACAAAGATGAATAAATATGATATATTTTATGCTATATGGAACCGGATTTCTCCAAACTCCCGCTAACTCATCCCCTCAGAAATAGATCCTAAATATCATATGTAAACGATTGACAATCGACTTGCTTATTCAGACTGCCACCAATTTGCGACTGAGTTGTTTTCAGTTCACATCTCACAAAACCGCTCACAAGTCGTATGTTTGTGGTCTGCAACAGAACAGACAGGCCATGCAAAATGACGTAAAACAGCTCCCCGATCACGTCAACCCTATACTCTTCCGTCACAGCTTCAAGCGACGATGTTCATGTTTGACGGTTCTTCAGTTGGACTGGTAATTCGGACGTTCTCCTGGTACTTAGCACCCTCCACTACTATCAAATACTGTCTTCACTCCCACGTGGGCCTCTTACTGGTTGGGCTCACCCAGGAACTGCTTCACGTATTCCTGTCGGTGCTCGTTCTTGTCGACATCGGGGCCTCGGTTCAGAGGCGTCCACTTGGGGTCCTCCTTGAACAGTCTCATGGCGTGAACATACTGTAATCGTCAGCCTTTTTGGTATGCAGTAGAGTACTTCTGTTGACTCACGTTGCTCTCATCAGTAGTGAAGCGGTGGTAAATGCCAGGAGGTAGGATAAGAAGGTCATCCTTCTCGAGCAGCACGCGCACCCAGTCGTCATCCTTGCTTCGGACGTCAAAGTATCCACGGCCACCACGGATGTATCGAATCTCCTCGTCCTCGTGCAGGTGCTCGGCGAAGAAGGACTTGACCTTGGTTTCGTAGATGTCGCCCATGGCTTGGGGAGAGACAGTGATCTCGTCGCGGTTCTTGTAGCCACGCTCCTTGGCAAGGTTGTCGACGGACTCGAGCTCAGGGAGATGGTAGTAGTAGACACCGATGTTCATGAGGTCGTCAACACTGACGGGCATGCCCGAGTTGTGAGGGAGGCGCTGGTCGCCCTGTGATTTTTTGTTAGTTGGACCCTTCTGCAAAGAGAGGTTATACGCACGGGAAGGCCATCATAGAAGTAAGCTCGCATGGCTGTTGAGTTGTTCGACGAATATAGAGGTTCTTCGGTAAAGACAAAAGTACAGTAAAGGTATTGCAAAAGCAAAAGTGTCAGCGGGTGGAAGCTCTTTTTGAAGCTTTGAGATTGCCGGGGTCCCAAGCACATTTTACAGTGTCCCAAAGGTTCCATGGCGGCGGGGTCTACCATGGAATGTCCGGCGAAGGCTAGCGACGTCAGCGCATCAGCGCTACACCAAAACGCAAAAGGTTAAGGTCCCTGCAGCGCTGACATCACAAGCACACACGCCTTCATAGGCCAGGCCCTCAATGGACCAGCTCGTATACAATCCAGAGGCTAAGGTATGTTGGACTTGTGTCTTATTTGGTGTCCACCCGAACTACAGTGGACGAACGGTACTAGCGCTTTCTTGCACTGATACAAATTTACTCTCATATCATGAGACAGCATCATGATGCCAACCTACTCATGTAAACCACAAATGACCGACCACCAGTTTTACCAGACGCTCAAAGGCTATTGTTCATTCCAATCTGACAACGCCATAGTAAGTCAACGCTATCGGCAATACATCTGTCCGGTGCCATGCTTCCAAAACATACCAATCCTGAACGCCAATCCATAGCAAATATTGAGCGTAATAGCTCTATCATTTCTTGCTGAAACGAATGTCTTCTCTGCCCTTGGCCCTTTAAAGCTCTCGGGGCGCAGCTTCTCGAGCCCCAGCAACCATAATGTCGTTTGTACTATCATCCGCATCAACTCGAGGTCGCGCCTCAAACAGACGCCTCCACCAGTTAGGAGGGTCAAGGGGGCGCGAGCCGTTGTGCAGGGGCGGGTAAACGTCAGAAAAGAAATACCAAACATGTCCAATAACGACACCCATGATTTCATCCTTAGGGATAGTGCCGTGCAGTACAAGGCTGAAACCCATCAAAACCCAGGGCAAATAAGGCGCGGTGAACACAAGCAAGCCGAGGAAGCTCAGTCTAGTCTCTGGGTTACGCCGGGACCATATGTAGACCAGCGTAGAGGAGAGCGGATGGCCGAGGAATGGCATGGAAACAAGGGGCGACAGAGCGATCAAGGAGGCCATTGAATAAAGTAGTAACCACGAGAAATGAGCAGGCGATCGACCGGATGACTCCTCTAGCAGGCGCGCATAACGCTGAAGGAAGTAGACGTGGAACAGTAGATCGAGCGAGAAGGGGCCAAAGTAGAGAAACGTCGTCAAGAGTCGCCAGTACTGTAGGAGATGCAACGTCAGTAAGCGTTCGCATCTCAAATGTCTGTCATACAAACAAATTGCTAGGAAGAATACGAACCTGTGATTTCACGAATACCGCGCGAAAGCTGTAGAATAGTTGGAAAGGAGTGACCATCTGACATTGTACCAGGGCACTAGTCAGAATGGTAGCGGTTGTCCACCAACGAGTGCATGTTGGCATCTCCCAGAACCATTGTTCAAGAGGTAGCCGGCCTCCATCCATGACCTGATCCATGATATGCTGATTGGAATATCTTCCTTCGGTGATGCTGTAGCTGAGCGGGAACAGCCAAGCGAGCGATGATCGGAGTTTGGCTCTATATGAACAAGTAGTCTAGGTAGACGAGTAATGGATCTATTTCATAGAACGGAAGGAGTAGAGATTGAGTTTAGTATCAGTCAGCACCAACGACTCTGCTGTGAAAGTCTAAGCATGGAAAGTTTTGTTGTTGAACTGGAAGATGACGGAATAGGACGAGCCACGTTGAGAGACTGACGGGTACAGGTAACTACCTTAGGTACCTAAGGTGTGTTCAGGACCCCCACCATTCCGTCCGGGAATACGTACCTCGCTTGGCCAGCTCATGTTTCTGTAGAATGTGGCGGTGCGGATGTGTGGCCGTGCATCAATCAGGTTCGCGACAAAGTGGCTGGAAATCAATTAAATAAAATCGCGGGGCTGGGGGAAGGCGCGCTTGCTCGCTCACACGGGCACGCTCCCCATAATCGCGGTGGTCCTTCCCACCTTGCGATTCCACCACCAACACTCACTCTCGCTTCTCTCCTACAACCTCCTTTTAACGAGAATTGCATTGATCGAACTCGAGCGTTTTGTGCAAGGCATTTGCTTCACTCATTTTCCGCATGTTACTGTCTTTGCTGTAAAACTCTTTGTTCTTTCTTCACGCTCCTTTCAATGCCTCCCAGGAAATCTAAAGCTTCCGGCGCGGGCAAGTCGCGGCCGAGTGACGTCCAAGGTACGAATTTCCAGAGACCCAGACTTGTCCTATTAGCTTTTTTACTTACAATGTCACTAGCTGGCGATCCTGTTCCCGTTCGCGCAAAACGTCGATACCGTCCCGGCACAGTCGCTCTTCGCGAAATTCGACATTATCAAAGTGGCACGAAACTGCTCCTCCGAAAGCTCCCATTCGCGCGCCTTGTCAGTTACTCGACGCCTCATATCTAACTTAATTGGAAACTAACACTAGGTCAACAGGTTCGAGAAATCGCTTTGACGATGCGCCCACGAGACGAAGGCTTGCGCTGGCAGAGTCAAGCCATCATGGCACTGCAAGAAGCTGCTGAAGCTTATATGGTGCATCTGTTCGAAGATACCAATCTATGCGCAATTCACGCCAAGCGTGTCACAATCATGCAAAAGGATATTCAACTAGCAAGGAGGATACGCGGTATCTGGGGTGGACTGGGTTAGAGAAGGGATTTTCGGAAACAACATGTGAAAAACAAATCAAAAAAGAGTCAAGGATCTGGATGGTTACTCACGAGACTTTGGTTTTGGGATTATGGGCGGCGTCGGGGCGCTTCGAGATATACCTGCTGGCCTTGTGGGTTGGCTGATTTACTTTGCTTTCTTCCTACTTACCACTTTGAGGGTTTCTTTGGCTTCGACACCCGAAGCTGGCAGAAAGAGCCCTTTTCTGTAAATGTAATATTTGCGGTCAATCAATTGTCATGCTCAAATTTGTTACCGAGGTACCACCAACTAACTCTTTGTGTCATGTTCAAGGGAGCTGGATATTCTTTGTTCTCCCCACGCTGAGCAGTCATTGGCTGAGAGCTCATGACTGTTAGACTGTCACTGACGTAATAAGCAATTCAGAAGATTCGAGCTCCCTCTAGCTCTCGACCTACACTCAAAACTTTCCTTTCCCAATTACATATCACCAATTGGCTCTATCATTCTCAAAACGAGCTATTCCCATGAACATGTATCGAGCCTTCAACTCTCGAGTAGCCTTCCGGGCCATGAGCCGAGGCATTGCCCCCGCGACTTGCGTAGGAGCTTTCATTGCAACTCGACCCGTCATTCGTTGTGATGCCCCGACACTTGCTACAGGACCTCCTTCACGCCGACGTCCTCTCGATGTTTCGCCTGATACGGTTCGTCAGCTTTCTAGTGGAAGTGTTGCTGGTTGGTCATCCTTACCTTGTGTCATATAAATCTAAGCTCACGGTCTGTCTCAAGGATTTGGAATCGGCGTTGTAGTAGCACTCTTTTCCCGCACCCTTGCACTTCTCACTGGATTAATTGCCTTTTCCATCCATGTAAGTCACCTTCTACCAATAGGCTCTCCCAACGCCGGCTCACATATAAAGGTTGCATCTCGCTGGGGTTTGGATATTCCTCGGACTCTTGGCATCGAGAAGGTCTTGAAGAACAGCTCGGTATGGAACAAGAGCAAGGAAAGGCCACTGTTCACTGCGTCGTTTCTTGTAACATTCATCCTAGCTACCTTCGTACGTCTATAGTATTGCTCAGGCCCTTTCCGTTACTTCACTCAACGTGCTGGGTCTCCCTCTTGAGCCAGGCCAATGTCACGTCGTCTCCCTCGAAATATTCTTGCGTCTTCTCCAGAACCTTTGCGTTGTAAGTGTTGAGCCACTCCTTCTCTTCAGACGTGAGTAGCGTTGTGTCGATCAGGTTCCGGCAGTACGGCACAAGCGTCACGTACTCGAAGCCCAAGAACGGCTTGTCACCAAAGGAGTGCTTGGTTTTGACTTCCTTGACGAGGACCATGTTTTCTATTCGGATGCCGTACTTGCCATCTTCGTAATAGCCGGGCTCGTTTGAAAGCACGTTTCCTGGAGCCAGTGCTACTTCAGCATACTGGACACGTGTGCCGATACCAATGGGTCCTTCATGGACATTCAGGAATGAACCAACTCCGTGTCCGGTACCATGTCTGTAGTCCAACCCATTTTTCTAGTCTTATTAGAGTTCACACTTTACGAGTTGCCACTAATAACGTACCCAAAGATGTTGTCTTGCCAGACTATCGAGTGCGAAGCCTGTGGTTCCCTTGGGGAAAATGGCTTGATCCAAAGAGATGTGGCCTTTCAAAACTAAAGTGTACGCCTCCCTCTCTGCTTCTGTAGGCTTTCCAAAGTGCAAGGTACGAGTGGTGTCCGTGGTACCATCGCGGTATTGTGCTCCTGAATCGCAAAGGTAGATAGCTTCAGGGTCAATGGTGGCACAGTTGCCACGCTCAGGGCCGTAGTGAATGATTGCAGCGCTGTATCCAATGGTTAGTGGCAATTTACAACGCTCAATGGTCAAGTATCATGAATATCTCTCGTGTCGCTGTGAATCGAACTTACTTTGCGCCGGTAGAGGAGATGGTGGGGAATGAGAGTCCAACAAAGTCCTTCTTTACTTTTCGAAGCTCTTCAAGTTTGTCGGCCGCTTGCACTTCATCAAGCGTGGCCTTCTTGTTTACAAGCTGATCCTCAAGCCAGGCAAAATACTGTATGAGTGCAGCGCCATCTCTCACATGACAATCCCTCATACCCTTTAATTCTGCCTCAGTCTTAATGGCCTTGGCATCGCCAATTAGACTCCTGATTTCATCGACCGAAGAGTCTCCTCCCAGAGCACGCTTAAGTGCCCATGAGCCTTTGTTGGAAATGAGGAAGTTGCCAGTAGGAACCTTGTCGCCAGACTTGCTCTTTGCAGCATGAGCGGCGTGCAGTACCTGGGCGTCGTCGAAGATAGCTTCGTATGGCTTGATGTCGACTTTGTTCGAGGTGAGGTGCGAGCGGCACTTGTCGTCCAGCTTGGCTTCGTCGATGTACAGCTTAGCAGCATCAGGGGTGACAGTAGCATACGCGAAGAAAACGGGGTTGTAAGGGATGTCGTTACCGCGCAAATTGAACAGCCAGGCGATCTCATCCAGCATGGACACTAAAAAGCCAGGGGAGTGCTTCTTTTCCAGCTCCTGGCGGACCTTGGTGAGCTTGTTCAGGACAGACTCTCCTGCAAGCTCGTCAGGCTGAATGATTACTTGTTCCGAGGGACGAGAAGGACGCTCATCTCCCCATACCAGATCAACAAGATTTCCATCAACAGGTACAAGCTCAGCTCCGCCATTCTTTCGGATTTTCTCAGCAAGGTTCTTAGCAGTTGAACCGGAGATGAGTGTTGGGTCAACGCCAACATTCTTTCCACCAGAAGACTGCTCTGCAGACCAGTCTTGCCACGTAGGAACGTCTTGGAGGCCTTGTTTCAGAAGTGTCCAGTTGCTATCGAGTTGAGATGTGGCCTGGTTGAAGTAACGGCCGTCAGTAGCAAGAGCAGCAGACTCGAGTGTAACAACAGCACATCCAGCAGAACCAGTGAACCCAGAGATATAAGCACGTCTGGCATCACAATCTGCGATATATTCAGACGAGTGGCTATCCTCAGAAGGGACAACTAGAAGCCATTGTTAGTACTGCAGCAGTGAATAGCATGTGTAGATCATGAAGTCTCACTGTAAATCTGAACATTGCGCTCCTTCATCAAGCCTCTCAGGCGATTGAGCCTGGAGGTAGTGTCGAGCTTGGTCATATTTTCAGATGAGGCCCAACGGCGAGAGGATAGGCGTGAAGCTGCGGCTAATCGTCGTGGAGCTGAACGGAGGAGTGAAGTCGCAGTCTGAAAAAGCATTGACAATCAGACGCAGGCAACAAGACACCTCGAACGGGGATAAATACACTCAAGGCTTGGAGATAAGCAATAGAGCGAACTGGGAGCTCAGGTCTCAAGGTCTTCGCAGATAAGAGTCAGTACAGGGTCAGTGGCAAGAGATATCTTGATTCTTGAAGCGTGGCTGGTGAGATATGATGAGAACAATCTGAGAACTCAGAAGGACATTTCAGCAGAGACTGAAAGTATTCACACAAAAGTGAGATTTGAGTATCATGGGGAAGCGTAATTACGAGAAGGACAGCTAATGAGGGGCTTGGGGATGGAGTCATGACCCAGATAAGTTGCATGCTTTGGACGATCTTTTGTTGGTTTGTTGGCTCACTTACCTTGATAGTACAAGTTGAATTGATGCTGCACAGGGAGAAAATGCCGCGAACACAACCACCCACGAAGAAGAAGAAACGGCACTGATGAAGCTATTCTCAGTTGCAGAGAATCGAGCTATGAAATCAAAGGTTGATGAGTTTCTCGTCACGAGAGCAGGAAGCCTGAGTGAGGTGTTCCATTGGTGTCAATCAAGTATGTACCCACCCTGGCACCTTCCTCCATGAGTGCGGGCAAGCATGCAAGCGTGGGATGAATGGCGGGGCAGGAGCGGATCTTTGGAATGACCGCTACCCCGAAGCAAGCCGCACCCCAGACTTTGAAGGCATTCAGTTCATCCTATTAATGTGTTGGCGCTACTAAGTACCTAGTTAGGGGATATGTTCCACGCAAATGTGCCAGGCGATGGATCTAGGAACAGCTAGACACAGGAAATAGTATCTATGTATGAGAGCTTGGCCTCACTACTTCGATCTGTTTCAGTTCCTTGAGGGTGTTGCATTTACGTATTCCTTGGATATGCCCAAGTCATCCACTCTTCCAACGTCAAGAATCAATTGATGCGCTGAATCAACAAAGTTGAATCAACGGTCAAATTTGTATTTAAGTCTAATCTCGCGTATGATATACGTTCCAAAGAAACAGGAGGGAATTCTCTCTTCTCCTTCGCCAAACCCCATGCGATCAAGGCTGTTCCATTTTGATACAGGCGCCATAGATACGGCGAGATCAATCTGTCTCTAGATCAGAGGTGCCTCTGTTTGATTCGACTGTATAAGTCAAGTTATGACCCCATCATCTGTTGTCAGACCATTCGTCCGTTCAATATATCTTCAATCCTCTCTCTGATAACGCCAGAACTTAGACACAATGCCGCTATACCTTAACCCCTAGACAATGAAAACCGTCCCGCCAAATATCACGTTCCGTTGATGCCGCCTGGGAATTGATGGCAGTTAAAAAGCTATGCAGAAGAGTTGCAGTAAAAACGCCAAACGAATGATGACTCCATGACACCAATTCTTATGAGAACAAACGCTGGTCCGCTCCTGGCGATCCAGTGCTCAAGTCCAGCTTGAGAATACGCCGAAGATCGTTTTCCATAGCTTGGAGGTTGTTTGAGCGGCCATCGCAAGGAGCTGGGACACTAGGACCACTCCTGGCATAGTTGTAGTGTTGAGCAGGGGGTGCGGGTGCAGGTGCAGGTGCAAATCCAGTAGGGGCAGATTGAGAGACATTTGTTCCGTTTCCGATAAATAGGAATTTCTTTAGGGCCTCAGTAGGATCTTCAGGTACAGCGTTGGGTTTCGGCTGGGTGGCGGATAGATCAGCAGGAGACCGAGCAGAGTTAGAGCGAGCAGCCTTGATGCGCTCTTGATAAGGTGTCGAAAACGCCGGGCCCATGGGACGACCTGGAGTCCCGTCCAGTTCAACACTGTCGATACCACCAGACTGGAAGCGTGTTTGGGTGCGGGCTGTCTGAGGGAGAGTTGCAGGCTTTGGGATGCTACTGTGCCCAAAGGGAGACTGGGCAGAGGGTGATTGAGTGACGAGGCCTGAAGGGCGGAAGCTGCTAGTGCTTTCGCTGCGTTGACGTTCCTTCTCTTGACGGTGGGCACGAAACATGAAATCAAGCGGAGATTCCTGGACACCTGATGCACTCTGGCGCAAAGGAGTGGGCGCTTCGGTATCGGTAGGTGGCGAGGGTTCCTGTAGGATGTCTCGAGATGTCTTGCTGACGCTAGGCGACTCGGTTACCGAACGAGAGACAAAACTAGGGAGAGGCAAGGCAGATGGCGCAGGAGATGCATGGAAAGTGGCTCCGGCAAAGGCAGAGACCGACTTCATAGATGAAGATGGATGAGGTGGAGTGTGACGACCAGGCCGAGCAGACTCAGGTGAGTGAGGACCATTCTTCCCGCGGTGTTTGTTGCTCATGTTATTGTTATTATTGTTTGCATTCCTAGGTCGCTGTTTCGAATTGGTATGGCTCAGCTGCGCATGAGGAGAATCGGTACCAGCTCCCTTCTGAGGAGTTCGTGGAGCGCGATCGTAACGTGCAGGATCAATTGAGGCGACGTCATTCTCCGAGGCATAAGCCTTCTGAGCAGCAGGACGGCCATTGCCGCGACCGTTACGACGGCGGGCGGGAGTGGTTGTAGGCTGAGATGGGGTCTCACTCATTTCGTCTGTGGTAACAGGTTGAATCGATCAAACACAGGGGAAGACACAGGATGAGAGTCGGCTGAGGCTAAGGCTGAGACTAGACAACAGTCGAGTCGAATATGCGATGTCCCGTAGTTGTTTGATGTGCAGCTGGCTAGCTGGTTGATTAATTGATTGAGGCGTTCGTTGGTATCTGGCTATGCGACAGGACCAAAGAGGACTCCAAAAGAAAGATCGGGCCGGATTAAGATGGTGGTGGGGTGTATGAAAGAGAATATAAAATCGAGGCAGGTGTTACGATTGAGCATAAAGCAGTTATTATTCTGGTGAAGAGAGAGTCGACTAATCTGACCATGGCTGTACTGTAGGAGAAAGTGTGATGTGGATGATTCAAGATCAAGTAATGAGGGGGAACAACAAAAGAAGTGAAGGGCGGAAGCGTCTGGGTTAATAAGAGTCAGTCAGGTCAGTCCTCTCACGTTAAGTTAAGCGCAAAGCATACCTTGGGTGTGCCCGGTCCAAGCAATGACGCGGGCGGATTCTAGGCGTTGCCAGCACAAAGAGTGGGTCAGGCCAGCGTTTAGCTTCAGCGCCTGAAGCGGATGTCGCATCTCACAGCCTTGCTTTTGAGCAAGAGAACCTTATTATTTGACTCATTTGACTCATATACTCCAATTGAGTCAGATGTTTCAAAATACTTTCAAAACTTAAACTAAAAGATACAAAACTAGAGCATTTAAACAAAAGTATATCATGTGCGTAAGGCTTATGTTTCGTTTCTAGCGAATGGAAGTCCATCACGACTGATAAGCGATAGGACCTCTGTGATCAACCCCGCCCCGCCACTCTCCCGCCGGACGCAGCCTGAATTAGGTGTGACCTAAGGCTTGAACTCCTCCAGCTGCCTGCCCGCCTACCTAGAGGAGCTCTGCAGCATCCGAAGCCTTTAGAGCAGACGTTCAGAGCCGCATCATCACTTGCTAGGAACCAAATTCACTGTGAGTACCCTCGCCTTGCTCGCGGCTGCACCATCAAGGTACATTTTCTTTCAAAAGAAAATCGTGCCCGAGGTTTTTGTTTATCCTCTTCATATTGCTGACAATTACAAGCATTCACAACTCTAGAGATATTGATCTATTGAGCAACCAATATCCGTACGTCTCCTTATCTTCAACCCGAAACCGCGCGGGACATGTCCCATTTCCCGTCCTTGAAGATTAACGGCATATGGATAATTCTGACTGCTTCTAGCAAACCAGTGTACCTTGATATCCGTCAACGAAACCAACCCTAGCGTGGTCTTCCGGGTTGACCAGCCGAGTGCGAAACATGGCCGACGTTGAGATGAGCGATGCGCCCGTCGCTAAGAAGGGCGAGGCCTCCGGCAGCAAGAGTGTCGAGGGAAAGAAGAAATTCGAGGTCAAGAAGGTACTGTACTGACTTGCCAGTTGTGAGCCTCCCAGAGTCATGCTGACCGAAGACGAACAGTGGAATGCGGTCGCTCTCTGGGCATGGGACATCGTTGTTGACAACTGTGCTATCTGCCGAAACCATATCATGGATCTATGTATGTTTACTCGGATTCTTATTGGATGTATATCACAGAGTGCTCACAAATCATCAGGCATCGAATGCCAGGCAAACCAAGCATCCGCTACAAGCGAAGAATGCACCGTGGCCTGGGGAATATGCAACGTAAGACTGCTGCGCACCCTTTCTTTTCGTGTCATTCGGCTAACAGAGACAGCATGCGTTCCACTTTCACTGCATTTCGAGATGGCTCAAGGCCCGATCTGTTTGCCCATTGGACAATAGGGACTGGGAGTTCCAGAAGTACGGCCGATAAAGAGAATGCAGTCGATGTCCGAATGTGATGGATTATGAAGAAAAGAACAAGACATCTGCAAGGAAACAGTATTATTTGGGTGTCATAATCAGCCTCGAGGGGCTGCAGAGGTCATGACACAGGGAGGCCCAGTACACCGTACACAATCTATTGATTTCCTTTGCTTGCAAGATCGTATGCGTACCCCGCTGGGAGCCACTTGACTGGATGTTTGTTGTAAAAGGGCCAGGCCGGCACCACGACGAGGAAGGTTAACGCCGTGCCTCCTAGACCTAGGTAGACCGCGAGCTTGATATCTTGGAGGATGTAGCCGACAACGAAGGAGATCAGCTAGTTATAATCATCAGCGAAACAGCCCAGCGAGTTATCAGGAATGACTTGGAGGGGAAGAAGACGTACGCCAGAAATGACAAGGAGAACTGTAGCAAGGAGCTCGGCCAGCTTCTGTCCTTCAAAGTCCTACAGTGGAGCTTCAGTCAGCTGTTGATCAGGTAAATCGACGGGCGGGATCATGTACAATTTGGCCATCGACGAGGTCTCGGATCTGATCAAGGGCTTGTTCAGCCATAATGGACGATGGTCGGATGGGAGTATTCGTCGTGTGTTTGTACTGTGTCTGGAGATGTTGTTCCGTCGGATTGAGATCGAATGTGAATGCGATCGCCAATAGTGTCAAGTTCGGAATTGGTCTCGACACCTGGCTGTTAGAAGGCTCATGGACTAGTCCGCTTTCGGTAAACAAGCTTTTGCGGGCTGGAGAAGATTCGATGTCTAAGCGAATGAGGACCAAGATGCCGTAACCATGAATAAGTGTGAGTAATATCCTGATGATCAAACAGTGATCTGATTCTCCAGGTGCACTTGCTCCTCTGCCAAAAGGACAGCGTTTGAAGTTATTTGCTGGGATTAACGCAGTGGTGCTCTGGGGAATCAGTCATTCTGCTGGTCAATCAGCTGAGATGATCGAGGTTCCTGATAACTTACCCTACACCACCTGACAGTGGCGAATCGGCTCTCAAAGCCGGACAGGCACAACAGGGAGTTCCTAGGTTCTAAACTAGGCCTGACCAAGGACAAGCCTGATATCTAACACGGACACGGACACCGATGGTCCAGGCCAAGCTCATTCTGCAGAAGCAAGTGTCCCAAGAGAGGAAAAGTGGCGGCCTCTCCCCGTCTTGTCTGGCCTGTAAGAACCAACGAGTCATCCTGGATGACCTATTTTTTGCTTCTGATAGCACACGGCGATTCGGTACCCGACACTTGATACCACCAAAAGACAATTTTTTTCTTCCTAGCCCTTCGGTTCCCACTTATAGTATATTAAGTTCCTCAAACTCCTCTTTAACCCAACTTCACCCTGACATCGTCGCTCTCGACACTAAGACCTCCTTTTGTACCCAACATTACTTGTTTTCTTATTCACTCATGTTTGTTTTGGCCGTGCACTATTAACCGGGTCTTTGTTCTGTCCAGCAACGAGAAAATTTCTCGTCTGGCTAACCGTGCCAGTATCGAAATTGGCCCTTGACCTTAGTTCCCTCAGACGATAGGCCCTAGCATCGTCACCCTGCCTTTATTCCCTGCCAAGGCCCAAAACAAATTCTGGTTACTACAAATAAATCAGCCTGATTCAACTCCTGAGATCGAAATCCACTTGCGCCAACCGAGTACTTTATCGCGAAGCCTCCTCTATCGAATCTTAGCCGGCTTCTCATATATTTCAATTGCCTTCAATCCTGTTGGCATCCCCGAGCAGCCGCTTCATCTACGCCATCATCCAGTATCGGCGTCTCGCCATTATCCCATAACAGTTTTCAAGTTGGCTCAACTCGCCTTCTCAAACGTTTCCCTCCCTTCGCTCTTCGGTCCCAGCTTCTGGGTCTACAGCGGGGTAAACAAGAAGCCCCCGTAACTGGTCTTTAGATCGCATTACCCGTTATTCGTCTTGAGCCAGTACATATCTACTCTTAACAACCAGCAGCCATTGGCGACAACCGCCGAGCAGAGCTCAGTTTTGAACAAACACCAACTCGGCGCGCCCATGCCGCGCCGGGTGCGACGTCTATAAACGCCTATATCAGACGACCCTGATTGGAACAACAACAAGCTATGGGATTCTAATACCGAGTCCGTAATACACCTTCCGCCCTCCTCGAGACATATCCATCTATTCTACACGGCCATCGTTAAAGCCAATATAGTCAATATCAAGCTACAAACCTAGCTGAACACCAAAATGTCAGACCACGAAGAATCCGCTGCCCAGTCTGGGTACGATACTCCCGTCCCGGAGCTCGATGATCACCGCCACCAGTCGGGTTCAACTCGAGTTGAGCGCCCTCGCCGTGGCACATTCGACAGTCTGTATGGTGCCCGGCAGCTCGAACCTGAGCCCCCCGCCCCTCCTGCGATTGTAGTTCGCGATTTCGAGGAGGCCATCATCGATGAGGAAGTAGGTGACTTTTCACCCACTGCTCGTCGCAGTCGCCGACCTACTGTGGATTCCACGGATCGATCTGTCTCGCCACCTAACTCGGTCAAGGCGTTCGCCCAGGCTCGCCGTCGAGAGCGGGACATGTCGTTCTCGGAACCCAACAAGCCTGATATCGAAGATGTAGCTAGTCGAGCCATGTCTATCTCAAGCAAGCGCAGCTACCGAAGCAAGCCTCGCACCATCGACAATGATGCTGCTAGCCTCTCAACCAACACAACTGCAGAGGAGGATGTCTGCTTCCCTGTCAAGGAGAGCTATCACAAGGACCACCTGTATATTGACTTTGACTACCTTGAGAACTTCATCAATGAGCAGGCAGCTGAACGCGCCGCAGAGCGAGCGGCAGAGCGCAACGCTGCCGCTGCCGAGAAGCAGAGCTTTGAGGATATGCGAACTCAGCAGAATGAATCCCGCCTTCAGCGGATGGTCACTGTTGATGGTGATATCCTGGAACCGGTCTCGGATGACTCAATGACCCGTGAGAAGACGAACCAGACAGTGCAGACTCATGCCGAGGGGTCAATTGCTGAAAAGCAGCCTGCGCCTGTCGACCCTAACCGGTTCAGTTTCTTCTCTTCGGCATGGGAGTCAACTATCCACGCAGCCGATTTTGGTGATCTGGTTCTCCCAGGAGAAGATCTTCGAGGACTTTTCGAGCTTCCTGATGAAGACGAAGATGGTGTCTGGTGGCTCAACGTCAATGCGGCTTCCAAGGAGGAGGTTCAGAGCATCTGCAAAGCTTTTGGAATCCATCCCCTGACAATTGAGGATATCATCACTCAGGAAGCTCGCGAGAAGATTGAACTCTTCCCGTCGTACTACTTTGCCTGTTTTCGTTCCTTTTCAGTTGTTCAGGAGCCTGATGGCATTGAGTATGAGCCCTTCAACACCTATGTCATCGTGTTCCGCGAGGGCACACTGAGCTTCAGCTTTGAGCCCAACTCGCACGCGGCCCAAGTTCGTAAGCGAATCACTGCTCTCAAGGATTATGTCTCTCTCAGCAGCGACTGGATCTGCTATGCTTTGATGTAAGTTTATCTGTGAACACGACTTGTAGAGACATACTAATTGTTCACAGTGACGACATTGTTGATTCCTTCGGACCTGTCATTCGCCAGATTGAGCTTGAAGCGGATGCTATTGAAGATGAAGTGTTCGTCATGCGTGAGGATGATTCTAACTCATTCCTTCGTCGCATTGGCCGGGTTCGCAAGAATTGTCTGGCTCTGCTTCGCCTCCTCGGTGGCAAAGCAGATGTTCTCCGTGGTTTCACGAAGCGATGCAATGAGAACTACAAGGTCACGCCAAGGATGGACATCGGCATGTATCTTGGTGACATCCAGGATCACGTTGTGACCATGGCCACCAACTTGGGACACTTCGAAAAGATTCTGTCTCGCGCACACAGCAATTATCTTGCTACGGTTTCCATCAACAGCATCGCGCAAGGAACGCACACCAACGAGGTTCTGAGCAAAATCACTTTCTTGGCCTCGATCCTGGTCCCCCTTAACTTGGTCAGTGGTGTGTTTGGAATGAACGTGCCAGTTCCGTTCGCAACCGTTGCTGCAAACAACTTGGCTCCTTTCTTCAGTATCATTAGTTTCATGGTTTTCCTGTGCATCATTTTCATGGCCTTGGCCCGTTGGAAGCGTTACATCTAGCGAAAGCGATGCATGTGGATGTTAGATGCGCATGTTGGTTCTGAGAACCCTGTCGGTCGTTACCATTGTTTCTTTTCCAGTATAGAAGGGTGTTACTCGGTGGCATATTCTGGCTAGAGTTATTCTGTGAGAATTGTTTTAGAGCGGTATTATGACTACTTGTTGGTATTTATACATTAGATACTGTTATAGAGAGCTTCATGGCGCTGGATCGTCTGTCTTGAACTGTATGTGGTGGTGAAAGGACTCTCAGTATACCTAGTAATTGTAATGCATCGGATTATAACTCATTCTTTGAGTAATTTACACGACAGGCAGTAACTGTCATACAAATCAAACCAGCTTGTTTCTCTTGGTGAAAGTTGAGAGTGGGACTGCGAACCTATCCGTGGCCCATTATTGGTCAGCTGATTAGACAGTTGCGCATCATCAAAAATCTTGAACTTGTGAGCAGAATCTACACTACAACAAACCAACTTCAACCCCACGCCAATCACGACCAACCTCTCCACAACCGCCAAAATGAGCGCTCAACAATTGTCCATCGATAACGCCGATCTCGAGAAGCTCAACGACAAGGATCGCCTCGAGCTTCGCCAGTTCCTCGCCAATGAGCAGCAGCGCTCCCAGATCCAAGCCCGTACGTACAACACCGAGGAAGACGCAATACAATACAGGATTGCTGACGAAATGTCTCTAGAAACACACAGCTTGACCCAAATGTGCTGGACCAAGTGTGTTCCTGGCAACATAAAGAACCCCAAGCTCGACAAGTCCGAGGAGACATGTCTTGCCAACTGTGTCGAGCGATTTCTTGACGTCAACTACCTTACGATGAAGCACCTCAACGGCATGCGCAACTAAGAAGCTGATTTCAGTATGGAAATAATGTTATTTCAACTATGTCTTACGAGATTTTTTGTATGAATAGACGGGCCGTGGTCAAAGTGGAAAATTCAGGTTGTGGCCACGACGGACGACTGGGCCTCTGTTGGTCAAAGAGACTGGCCATTGGGCTATGTACATCACGAACGGTTTAGAAAAAAACATATCTCAACCATGATTGTTTGGGAAAGGTTCATCTAAAATGGCTATGCCTTGTCTTGACTTGACTGGCCTATTGTTCATGTTTAGATGTCGCCGTAATTTCCACGAACTATTCCCCAAAAGTGGTTGGAAACAGACAACGCAAAGGAAACTTATGGCTCCTAACTACAAATCACATTCACGTATTATCACTCAAATCATATCAAGCCAGCATCTTGGACGACTAAGCGGAGCCGTGTCCCGGGTGGTATTGAATTCATGATCATTTGCACTCTCAACGAGAAGTTCTTTTTACGCCTATTCCGATGCCCATGCCTTGCATTTTCAGCAGGCCAAAAACCAACCCAAAGACACGCCAGAGAAGCCAGAAACCCACAAGCCCGGTGGTATTTTTAGACGAGAGAGAGCTTGTTGGCAGCAATGTCGAGAGCATCGACATCAGGGGTCAGGCGGGCGTAGGCCTTCTTGGTACCGTCAGGGCGGATAAGGGTGTTGACCTTGACACAGTCAATGTCGTAGAGCTTCTTGAGAGCAAGCTTGATCTGGGCCCTGTATTGAGGTTAGATTTTACTCTGATATTGTTCTTGGATATACTGACTTGTTGCTCTTGATGTCGACAATGAAGACGAGGGTGTTATTCTCCTCCATCTTCTTCATGGCGCTCTCAGTGTTGAGAGGGTGGACAATGATCTAGAGTGTGGTTAATACAATCGTTTCCCCAACATATCTCACTCCAGGTGAGACTAACCTTGTGCTCATCCAGACGAGGCTGGTGAGGGATAGATCGGCGAGGGTACTTGGGGGCTCGCGAGGTGATCAGGGTCTTGGGGCGGTGGAAGGAGGTGCTGAAGCGGGCCTTGACCTTCTTGTGGGAGTTGGACTATTGACATTGGGTTAGCATATTAGGACGGTTGACTGCGGTAAAATGTTTCTAACTTACGCCCTTGAGAGCGGCCTTGGCGGCATCCTGGGCCTTCTTGTTACCCTTGCCCTTAGGCTGAACTGTTATTGAAAGCATCAGCATTCGCTCTTATTCAGAACTCGCAAAATCTGCTGTAGCATGATGCAGTAGAGTATGAACTCGGAGGGTGAGAGCCGAAGAGGAGAATCAGAAGATGGATCGAGTCGAAAGGCCGGCAGTGTCGAAGCGAAAGAGACAATAACGTCGAAGCAAAGCCGATCGGTCATAGCAGTTGTTGCAATTGATGTAGTTGCATCGAGGCGATACAGTGATTTGATCTCTCGAGAGTCGCCATAACATCGTCGTTCAAATTCTTGCTCAATTTCGCTCTCGCCCGTCCAGTTTTCTTCTTTTTCCCTTTCTTCTCTTCCCTCTTTGTTGTTTCATATCATGTCGTACCTTTCTTGTTGGCGGCCATTGCGTCGGTGTTGTCGAGGGCACAAGAATGTCGGGTGTGCTGGTTGTCGTCGGAGTGGTCAAAGGTTCACAAACAGGTTCGCTGAAATAAAATCTATTTATTTTTGTGATTTTTCGAAATTAGGGCAGATGTGGCCCCATTCCTCTACATGATGTGATTGGTTGAGGCTTAGATCAATCTATATGCCTTAGGTAAGCCAATTGCAAAAAGTCATCGAGAGAATGAATGTTGCACTCAATTACGCGGAATTTTTAGGCAGTTCGATCGATTAATAGGAATCAAAATGCTCTTCCAAGCCTTATAGCTCGTTGTAATCTGCTGGGTCTCCCCTGAGGAGTTGCACTATTTGAGAATCGGTGAGTTTCAATATCGCCCTTCTCTTTACCGAGACTAACATGAAAATCATTTCAGATTTCGATGCATTAAGGGGTCAAGAGGTCAACACACAAGGGCCATTCTTATTGCACTCATAAAATGGTTTCCAAGAAGCAAACAAGGCTGAAGAGCCTTTCGAGTGGCCGCCCGCCAACTGCCAAGTCCTCACGGTCAATGTCTAGGAAAGCCAGCAGGAGTCTCATCAACACTCATCACCAACTGGAGAAACAACGTCGGCAAGCTGCAGCCAAGGGCGACACGGTCACCGAAACCCGCATCGCCTCAGAGATTGCCAAGCTGGGTGGTCTTGACCACTATCAGAAGGCCAGTTTGCAAGGTCAGAGTCTCGATAGAGGAGGCGACACGTCAAGAATACTTCTGGAATGGCTCCCTGTGGCAGAGCTCAAGAAGCGCGCTCAGCCGTTTCATATGCTGGAGGTTGGGGCATTGAGTACTCGTAACGCATGCTCGACAAGCGGGATCTTTACTATGAAGCATATCGATCTCAACAGCCAGGAGCCAGGCATCACAAAGCAAGATTTTATGGAGCGACCCCTGCCCAAAGACGATTCTGAGGTGTTCGACATCATCTCTCTGAGTCTAGTGCTCAACTTCGTGCCCGAGGCCGAGGGGCGTGGACAGATGCTTCTTCGGACTCTCTCCTTTCTTCGACCTGCAGCTGAACCAGCAACTGGTTCTGACGAACCCTTTCCCTGCCTTTTTGTGGTTCTACCTCGTAGCTGTGTTGACAACTCACGATACTTTACAGAAACTCGCTTCGACGAGTTGATGACGATTCTCGGCTATGCATGCGCCAAGACCAAGATGACTCAGAAATTGGCATATACTCTTTGGAAGAGGATCGGGACCGTCTCCGAGAAGCGGCCGGATTTTACCAAGAAGGAAGTCAATCCAGGACGGACACGGAACAATTTTGTCATGACGCTCAAAGCTTCGACGAGTCATTCAAACTGAAACGATGAGGGGAGACACGACAACGCGTGGGGCCTCGACGAGCTGCATATGCGGAACTGCCCAACAAGCTGTCAACACGGCAAAACATATGGAGTTTTGAGCACGCGACAATTAACTAGCTGACACGGTACGAATGTTTAAGTCTCGATAAGAGGATCCTATCTACACAGTTCTTGGAGAGCCCGTACTGTGCTGTATCGTCTGGATCGACTATCTGCAACTTACCACGTCGCACGACTGATAAGGTGCATGGTGACACTTATGCAGCTTGGGGACACCAGATCACCAGTAGACAAGATCAGCTGGACGGTGGTCTTCGTTTTTGAGGGGACTAGAATTCCCTAGCGAGCTACCACTCTTGCATCTCCGCACAAAGGTCCCACGCTATTCGACGATTGTCATTTCCCCACACCCTGAGCGACCTTTTCCTGCAGTCGTCTATCATACTCCCAAAGAAGCGACCTCTGAGTGCTTGAACTCGGTAATGGCGAGCTTGGACAGAGGTTCGTCTGGCGGCAAGGGCGCATTACCAGGACGAACAACGGGCAGACTGCGCATGCCAGCCCCGACAGCAGCTTTGACCTCGTTAATATTGTCGCTCAGGAAAAGCCATCGGTTGACGTCCTTGTGCTCCCGGTGCTCAGAAATGATCTTCGTGTAGCTATCAACCTCGGTTTTGGGCCCCGCATTAGTGGTATCAAAGTAGTCTGCGATAAGAGGCGTCATATCTGATTTGGCGGAGTTGGTATGTGAAAAGAGCAACTTCTGCGCGGGGACTGAGCCGGACGAGTAGATGATGATCTTCTTTCCAGCCTGGGTGGCCTCGTTGAAGAAGGGCTCAACATCTGGGAAGAGGGGCGCCACGATGTTACCCGACTTGTAGCCTTGCAGCCACAGGTAACCCTGGAGCGACTTGAGATAGGCGATCTTGACATCACGCTTCACGAGGTCGCGGACGTGCGCTTCAAAGTCAGAGCGCGAGTTGCGATACTCTTCGGGAAAGGCATCGCGGTACTTTGCGAACTCTGGGCTATCCCACTCTTGATCCAACACTTTGGGAAGTGCCTCGAGTGCATATGGAAACTAATGACAACGAACAGACCTTGGTCAGCAGGCTGCAGTGTTGTCGACATCGTGCATGCCATCACGAAATGGGTAAAGTCGGTGAAGAGTGCAAAGGGGCTGGGAAAGAAGTGCTCGGCTTGAAATTTTCAGCTGCACGCGCCCGAGACTTGCGCAACTTGGCAGAACTTGGTTCGGCAGCGTGGACACCCGGGATCTGGGTACAAACGCCGGCAGCTGGACGGAGGACGTCCGGAAGAGGAGGCTGGGACGAAATTTGGTGGAATCCACACGGAGGTCCGGGCCCGGAGGCGGTAAGGGGGACGGACGGAGGTGGTACATGGGTAAGGAGAGTAAAATCGGAACGGTTGCGAAGTGAGACAAGCAAGAAAACGGGACGACTCACGAGAACATCTTTGACAAAGGAGATGGGACAAACGGTTCCTTCTGTAACATGTGTTATTATGGCTATTCTGAGTGTATGATATCCAAGCAAAGCGCGAGTGTATAGTAAGGTACAAAACATATGCCAATATAATGAATGACAACTCATTCCAAAACAGTCCTCGCAGTCAACAAAACACGCACGCAGTCGCCAGCAGCAACTGTGGAGCCAGTTTAATCTTACCAATGTCAAATACTAGAACGTCGAAGTCATTGAGGTTGAGCGTCATCGTGAAAAGGAGTTATTTTTTTCGTAAGAAAGCGGTCAAGCCTGAATATTGACACGTCCAATATGAGAGATGAAACGGGTGAATTAGACCGAAAGGAAGAAAGAAGAGAAGACAAGAAAATTCTGTCAGACACCAATTCCGATTCAGGATCCCTGCTACGATCTTGAAGTGTGAGGAAGAGAGCGTGCGTCCGTGAAAAAAACCAATATCGGCGGTGGCAGCAGAAGGTCCTTGTTCCTGGATTCCAGAGCGGGCCGCTATCTAGCTTGGCGCCTTTTGGTGAGGTGATTTCCTTGGAGGTTTAGGATCCTGGACGAGGTATCCGTGTTAAGCTTGATGCAGCTGGGAACGTGGGTTGATTGAGATGCAATAGTAGATCGAATCTAATGCGAATGGAGGGTTGGTTTGCAGCCATGTGAGCATTAGAGGAAAGGCGGTCAAGAGGTGAGGTTGGTTGGATCGAGGTGAACCGACCAATGGCGTGTTAGTATTTCCTGACTGCAGGGTAAGGAGGACAGCGAAGAGGTCTGCTGTGAAGGAGCTGGATAGAAGGACTTGGCTGTGTTACAGGGGTCGGCGGCCAGATCCGAGGGAATTGGATATGCTCTGAGGGCTACGATGGATCTCTAATTAGAAACCTGTTGACGAAAATGACAACTGGCAGTTCATCTGTCACAGGTCGTGAACTAGATCTTTTCGTATTCAAGGATCGTACAGAACACGTCTATAGAGTCTAGTCTATGCCGGCTGTCGCCAAACCCCGTGTCACTGCAGGCTGTGGTCCCGAGGCGAAGCAACCCAAGCTGCAGCTCGATACGGAGCTTTTAACAGATCCCCTGCTGTTCCCGAGCTGAATTGGCCAGTTCATGCAGCTTCCGGAACGCAGCAGTGAGACAGCCCCTGGCAACGGTGAAAGAAAAGAAATGTGTGTTGCCCGCAGTCACAGCAGGACCCTTTTTTCTCTCACCATATTTGGTGGAGTCTCGAATTCTTGGCCTTATAGTAGATGGGGATCCGGTGATGGTACTTGTGATTAGGCGGCCCCTCCTACCGCTGCACATGTCACTCTGTCGTCCAGCCACTTGATGATGAATGAAGGGTCTGACCCATCACCTCACTTCCAGCTTATGGGTCACAATTTGCTGGAGCTTCAATTCAATCCCATGACCGACTGTACTGTAGCTACCCTGGACAAGAGCTGCAACTCTCACGCGATATCTGGAGGGCGAATCTGTTGAGTCAGGAGATCATCCTCGATGATGAGATTCAATCCCTTCAGCGTCTCAGTTTTCCCCTCGTTATCCCTTGTAACTGGTTGCCCTCCTCCATCCCCGCCCTTGTTGACAAGATCCGCGCATAATGGCATGTTATGTTGTCAATGTAAGTAAATATTGTGTTTCTGATATGACAACGAATCAGAGCCGGCAACGACGTGACTTGAGACAGCTAAACCACGTCCAACCGAAATAGGGAGTCGTGTCTAGAACAATTTCAACGTGCAATTGTGCAACATGTAGGCTTAGTCTAGAGCGTGAGACTCATTACTCACCTGTGACCATCGTGACATGACCAATGTTCATCATCTCATCTCCGTATCTCATTTTCACTGAGTCACCACTCAACAAGTCTCCTGTCCTTGGAACGCCGATATCGAATTCCGTCTCCATATTTGTCCGGACTCCACAAGGGGACGGCAAACATCAGATCTCACGAGGCCCGGGGACCCGCACCGAGTGTCAAGTCCGTCCGTCCGCCCAAACAAACCAGTACACACAGGGACAGCACAGTAATTATCTGTCTTGGCTTGAATAATGGAGACTAGAGACTGGAGTCTGGAGACTGGAGCAGGTGAGTAATCTCGAAGAATTCCATCATCCGAGATTCGTAATCCCATATTCCCTGAATAATCTCATGTCCACGTATTTTGCACCCCCGCTCTGATGGAGACGAAATGCCGTCATTTCGTCTCTCGAGTCGAAATTCAAGGTTCGTTGCTCTTTGTTGTCTTTCTTCCCAAAACGGTATGTAGCATCACAGTGTCCTGATCGGCAAACCTGGCTTTGTGCACAGCTGTTTCGTGTCATGGCGATATTTTGTGAAGATTTGCACAGATTTGTGCATGGCTGAGCAACACGGACCCTTGAAAACCCATCCAGTCACGTTTGATGATTGACGACAGATCGTTACACGCAATTCCTGCCTGTCCAAGCTCCAAGCCAGCCTTGGAAGCATAGCCTGTTCTGACGCACGCCCCTTTTCTATTTACGGGTGTAAACACCAACACAGTAAGATCTCCTTGCACAATCCCAGTCCCTGACCAATATTTGGAAGCTTCTGGCGTTTGTTGGATGACACATTCGCACTCGGCGGCTGAAGAAACCATCTGTTTACTTTTTGGTGGCCGAGTTCTTATTGTCTGTTAGTTCATCTGGTCCCTGAGACGAAGGGGTCCTCATGGCACCGGGGGCATGCCCACTGGAATGCAGGATCCAGGAGTGCATGACCCAGTGACCAAGCTGGGCCAATTCACTGATAACTTAGATTAGCAGATGAGCAAGGGTGTAAGCGTTAAGGCGTCAGAATGGTGATCGACAAGAGACTGGCGGCAAAAGTTGGAGACTTGGAACTTGATAACCAGAGTCCAGAGATAACAAGGGTCTTCTGCAATCGAAGAATTGGCAGGCTTCCAGTTCAGGAACGAGAGAAACGTGGCACAAGATCCAATCAGTTTTCTGAATAGTCTAATTGCGTAGTCGCTGATAGCGATTGCCTCAATTCCCCGACTGTAATGTTGGCTGAGCACCGTCCGTCCGTCACTTGGACTGTGACTGTATCGTGGCGCCGACTATCTAAGAAAAAGCCCGAATTGCGTTTGAGACGGATCAATCATCAAAACTGTAAACCGAAATAGCGATAGAGAAAACGAGACGAGACCCTGATTTCGGATTCGGAATAGTCAAGAATGGGCTCACTTTTCCTGTCCACGAGACAGTTCAGTTCAGATCAGATTGAGTAGGACCTCAGAAGCTGCATTTCCCAGGCCGGATTTCGTTGGGGACAGAGAAGGACCCTTGCAATTGACAGCTCGTTCTCGTCTTGTTTGCGATGCCGAGCCAAGCCAGTAAAACCTGGGGATGGCATCGTCGTTGCATGGACTACACTGGTGCCACGCGCACTATGCGCACTATGTGCATTGCTACGCTCCGTCGCTGCAGCCAGTGAACAAGTGCTCCATTCATGCCTCGAGGCCCTACACCATCTTGT